CTTACAGAGAGATCTGGATAGACTAGAGAGCTGGGCAATCACCAACTGTATGAAATTTAACAAGAGCAAGTGCCGGATTCTCCACCTGGGGCGGGGTAATCCTGGTTATACGTACAAATTGGGGGACGAGAGGCTGGAGAGCAGCCTCACGGAAAGAGATCTGGGGGTCTGGGTTGATGGCAAGTTGAATATGAGTCAACAGTGTGCCCTGGCAGCCAAAAGGGCCAGCCGTGTCCTGGGGTGCATCAAGCACAGCATAGCCAGCTGGTCGAGGGAGGTGACTGTCCCACTCTACACTGCACGGGTGTGGTCCCACCTCAAGTACTGTGTGCAGTTTTGGGTGCCTCAATATAAGAAGCACATGAAACTGTTAGAGCGTGTCCAGAGGAGGGCGACCAAGATGGTGAAAGGTCTTGAGGGCAAGACTTAGGAGGAGTGACTGAGGTCACTTGGTTTGCTCAGCTTTGAGAAGAGAAGGCTGAGGGACGACCTCATTGCAGCCTACAACTTCCTCATGGGGGGCAGTGGATGGGGAGGTGCTGATCTCTCTCTGGTGACCAGTGATAGGACACGAGGAGATGGAATGAAGCTGCATCAGGGGAAGTTCAGGTTGGGCATTAGGAAAAGGTTCTTCACTGAGAGGGTGATCGATCACTGGGACAGGGAGGTGGTCATGGCACCAAGCCTGTCACAGTTCAAGGAGGAGACTAGAGAAGAGGATGGATTAAAAGGGGCTGGTTGCATGTAAGTTGCTACTAGTCAGTACACTTTTCTGACAGCCATGCGCCTCATCACTGCAGTTAGTGTTAAATCCTTTCTTAACTATCTTTCTGTGACGTTTCACTCTCTATGGCATCTGGGTGCTGCAAAGTCTAGGTGCCAGCAACTGGAGAGGCTAGACTGAGAGACTTAGGTGCCAGAGACATGGTCAGACCCTAAGAAGTGGTGGCCCATATGTCTGTGGTATCAACAACTGAGCATCGGAGTGTCAGCAGATGGAGGGACCGTGGGCCATAGGGCCCAGATATTTGAGGTGCCAGCAACTGAAGGGACCAGTGTGTTTTCCTTTGTGTGTGTATGTGTAATTCACTAGCAAACTTCAATCTGGACTAGCTGGCAAATAGGAGAAAAACCTCTCCCTGGGAAGACTCAAAGTCTGAGCCAAAAGCGATTAAGGGGGTGCAGGGTCTGGGCTTAGATATACGGCAAGCTGAGAGCCTGTGCTGGTGTTTGAGGGAGCTGCAAGTGTGGAGGTTGCTTGTGACACAAGCGTATGAGTGCTTGAATCTTCTAGTGAATGTCAAGCTGGGCTAACTGGCAAACAGGAGGAAATCTGTATACGAGGTAAGAGAGCTCCAGATCCAGGCAGGTGTATCAGACTGGCTGAGGGATCTGCAGCTGTTGGTGTGCTTGTAAATCTGGAGTGAGGCATGTGCTTTCAATAGTGAACGTTAGTGCTGATCAGCTGGAGAGGAGGAATGGGATATGACTCTGTGTATTTATGTTCTGTGTAGTTCTGATACTGTTACGTCGGGGTGTTGTTAAAGGCAGTGCCCTGTCTGTGGCAGCTTGTGTAGCTGGCCATCCTTGTGTCCTTGGTTTGTGCAGGTGTGTTTGTATTTGTGTGCATCCCTGGGACATGCACTCAACTTGCTACTAGCTGAACCTGGAAACAGGAGAGCAATAACTGTCTCCATCGGCCTGGAATGGAGAGCCCTCAGAGGGTCTCAGGGTGCACTGGGCTGGGCTCCAGCAGTTGGAAACGAGGAGTCCCCAGGTCTCAGAGTCTGCTGGAAGTGGCAGCCTTTTTAACATCCCTTAACAGCTTTTGTCCCCCAGCCCCTCTTGACTTTCTTAGGATTCCAGGATGTAGCCTCTGCTACAAATCACTGGTGTACCCTCGTTTCTTCCAGGGAGCACAGGCATTACATGCACAGTAGACAGCAAGTCTAACACCATATAGATGGCCACCTAGCATATAGTGGAACCTAAATAATGTAGAAATCTGCATCATAAGAATCATGTACATAATTAGTACCTTATATTAATGTTGTGTATCATATATGCTTTTGGCTAACATCTTTGATTATGTAGCTCTAGTGAGCTTTCTCATTGGCTCCTTTATTCATAAGCATATATGCATGTTCCAGTTGTTAGCAGCACTGCAGGCTCTTTGGACAAAGTGTCTTTCAAGGACAGATATTTTGAATTAATTTTTCAAATATTTTGTAGTCTGACACAATCCACCTTTTTATACTATTACAGGTAACGTTACTATTACTTTTCACAGTATTATGGGAGGGCTACTGGAGTCCTTGCTGGAGATTGTGAACAGTCTTGCTCATTAGTCTAGCAGGCAGCTGCTTATCAGTTATGCTTTCAAAGCTATTGTTACTTCAGCCACAGAGCTACAATAATCAGACTTTTTTTTTTTTTTTTTTTGTAGCATTGCTGTGGCCTACAATGCATAATGCATAAGAGTTTGTCAGTCGCTTTTTGTTACTCTGGTGCAGGCTTTGTATCTTATGTTTGAAGCAGAAGATGATAAGACTCTTAATGGTTGCCTGTTTTTTGTAGGGGTTCTCATACAGGCCTTTTTCCTTATCACAGAACGCTCCAGTGTAAGGAACAGCAGTATTAACCATCTTTAACCAGCTTCACAGAATCATAGAATCATTTAGGATGGAAAAGACCCTTAAGATTATTGAGTCCAACCGTTTACCTAGCACTGCCAAGTCTACCACTAAACCACGTCCCTAAGCACCATATCTACACCTGGGATAGTGACTGAAC